ACAATGATACTTTGAATTTAGGTGTGAGAGAGAAGAGGGCTGGAAAACAAGTCAACTAATTTAAAGAACACTTCCCCATTATCCACTAAAGGAAGTATTCATATTTTGCTTGTAAGGTCTTTTACTCTACCCTGCGTGCAACTGCTACCCATGGTCCCTGAAAATATACATGCAAAATACTGCTAATATTCACTTACAAGGAGAGAAGTGTAATATTTGTTGATACTGGTCCTAGATTTGGAATGGTCTCCAGTTCGTTGTTGTTCAGTTTCCTAAAAATGCCCAAAAAAGAAGAGTGGGGGGTGGAGGGGAAGCTGATTAGATAATCTGTTATTCATAGAGGTGACAATTTTATAAAATTATTTAGATATCTCTCGAGTTAATAGTTTTAAATAATATATTACAATCCAAATGCTCTTTCAGTTAAATAGTGTAATGGGTGGTATATTTTATTCAAACATCAAAGAGAAAATAACTAAGACTCACACTTCTCGAAGGCTTTGAAGGTGGCTCATGGAACTTGCCTCGATGAAAGACAATCTGTTGTGGCTTAAGTCTCTATGAGAAAATAAAAATAAAATTATAAGTAGTTTTAAAAAAATCACTGATAGCACTTGATGTACAAGACAGAGTGGATCTGTGAAATGCCTCCAGCAACACTAGTGACAACATAAGAAATAATTGGTCCATCCTGCCCATAACCTAGGTGGTAACCAAAATGCCAAACTCAAAAATATCAACGCTGAGGACAAAATTAGTTTAGGAGGCTGGCAGATTCAAATGCTTTAAGCCCACAAATGTTTTAGGAGATGTTTTTTGGCACAGGGTGAACAGACCTTTTGTGAGCTGGTTGTTTTGCTTCACCTTCCCCATCCCCGACCATCTCCTCACTTCCACTTGATATGATGAAGTCATGGCTTATGAAAAGTGGCTAATTAGGCAGGTTGCTAAAACTAAAACCTCTAAAGAAGCCTTTTTATTATAAAATTAAGTATCAGTGTCCCTATTACACTCAAACAAAAATTGCTTTTCACACATTTCTCTGGGTTAAGGTACCAAATTTTGTTTGAAGTATCATTTGTGTGTGTGTGTATGTGTGTGTTGAGGGTAGAAAACAACCTGAACCCTACGCTTTCCTTTCTTGTATTCCCCAAATCTCAATATAACGTATAATTTAAATCATATCAACCAGCTAACAAAGTTAGGTGGAGTGTACAAAACCCTGTGATCAGATTTCTTCTCAATCATTAAAATAAATCTGCTTCTTACTCAAAGACTCAATCTAACACAGTAACAATTTACATAGGACATAATTTTTCTTTTTTTTTAAAGCAAAGCAAAACTCCTACAGACACAATATTCTAAGCTAGGAAGTCATCTCAGCATTTAAGATTCAAACAATGAAACAAAATCTGCCAAATAGCTGGTTATAGTCCCTATATTTGTCAACACACTGAATATGTGCCTTCAAAATGGTGTAATGAAAATGAAATGGCTGAACAGGTATTGAAAACCAGGCTAACAACAGTGTGGCTTAAAGCTCTCCTACGGACAGAGGTTAACCCCACCCTTACTAAATTAATTCTTTCAGTGTTTAAAAACGAAGATTTTAAATAACCAAAAAGTTTCAAATGACCAAACTTGATTGGAGAAAAGCATGAACCATCTGATATGTGCATTAGTATGCTCCCCCACCAAAGGCAGAGAAATCATATTCAGAGAAGTACATTACTTAGAGCAAGTCCATTAGTTAACAATTAGAAATCAGAGATCCTTTCGGCCTTTGAATTTTTGTTTTGAGAATAAACCTGGATTTCTCTATTTCACCTAAAAAAAAAAAGTCTGCAAAGGTTTTATTTGAAACATGTTTGTCTAAAGACCTACCAGACAGTAACAGACATGAGTAGATTTGTTCTGGTAGAGTTATAACATGAAAAAAACCTGGCACAGTCTTTAAACTATAAAAATCCTGCAATTACAACCACTGCTGTGCATGCTCACCACGCTGGAGCCAGACACTTTCCCTCACAAACCCAGCTCAGGTCCATCTGGAGTTCATCAAGGAAACCGTGAGCCCAACAACTCACGTTAGGATTCAAACAAAACCTGTGTGCTTTTAGCACCACAGACAGTCACAGATTTCCCACAGGGTTTAAAAAACAACCAAGGAAAAGAGTCCTTCACCTGGGAGGTAGCCTGAATCAACAGAAAGTCTCACTTGGACCCACTTAACTAAACATTGAACCAGCATAACTGCATCCCCTATTGTTTCAGGTTTTAAAAAGAAAGGGGGAACCAATCGGGTATTTACATTTAATACAAGTGATTTTCTTTTTAATTAGAAAAACTTAAACCACACTCTTCACTTCATTTTAAGGATTATTTCACAGAGCAATCCTGTGAGAAAAGAGACTATTTCAAGCAGTGATGGGATGCGATCTCCAACAAAAGGCCTTTAAACTGAGAAATTGCCTTCAGAGAACAGTGCACATGCTGGGGACCATTCTCTTCTGATTCAGAAGCAGGAGCTGGCAACTTTAAATATCTGTTATTGCAACACTTCCATTCCTGAATTGTGTGTACTACTATTAAAACCACATTACATGTGGGAGAAAAAAAATTCACCCCTTGTGACTTTTACTGCTAAATACTTAAAGCCATGAAACTTTTAATGCACCTAAATTTAGATTTAATACAGTTTGTTTCAGAAATGATTACTTTCCAGTTAAAAGATGTCACGTTTTCCTAAATCTCCCTTATATTGTTTTTATGGCTAGACCATTAAAAACAAATCCAAGTTGCACAATGTTGATGTTTTCTCAAAACCCATAAGAAAACTCAATAAGGAAGGCAGATTCTTTGTTTTTAGAGTTCCATTAATAACATCTTCCCTAAGAAACCTTTTTAAAAAACTTTTGGTAGTGAGGTTAATAAAAAGGATGGTCAGGCAAGTAACTCAAAGGTACCCCAAACTCAGCTGGCCAAATACTTGAAAATCAAACTGTACATGGCAGAGAGATATCTCTCTTCTTGTATATTAACAAGCAAATAAATATATATGAAAATAATTAATTTACAGCGTTAGGTTCCAGCTATCATTTTCTTCCTTTAAGTATTTGGAAATCTGACTTCCAAGTCAAATTTTAAAATGCAAATCCAGCACAGCTTCTTAATCAATCCCACTGGGGCCTGCGGAGCTGCTAATTCAGCAGAAATCTGGAAAGCTGAAAAACAAAAAGCCAGGCTGTAGCTGTTTTAAGACACTGATCCAAAGTGACTCATAAATCAGACTGCTATGTTCAAGTTTTAGTCTGGAAAATATAGAAAAACAGCTGTGAAAACCATATGGACTATTACCCCCACCCGAGCCCCAATTCTGGTACCAACCAAAGGATTTATAAAAGGCAAACACTAAAGAAATCCCACTAGCAGAAAGTACCTTTTGGACCTTTTTCGACTAAGCCCTGCTAATTTACACATTTCTTTGTGACATAAATAATTCTGAAATTCCAGTGATATTTTAATAATACTTGAAGCTCTCATTGGCAACTTTCCCCTCTCTGTGCTAAGTAACATATTCTGACAAGCCCTCTTAAGGTTCATGACTCTGCGAGCACAGACTCTAGAAATAAACTGGAGTATGCTTTTCATAGTAAGCAACCTTCAAGTAGTTACTGTTTTAAGAACCACTTCCATTAAAGTATTAGAAGTTACTTTCTGAAAAGAAAACAATATTATTACGTTACGGCTCAAACTGTTCAACTTTTAACACATGGGGTCCCTATGGCAATAAATTACAAATGAATTAAGTGAAAAAAAATATGCATATGTAATAGAAAGATTTTAACGTGCAAATTCAAATAAAAGACACTAAACTTTTTCTGAAAAGTGCGCTCATAAACTAGTCCTAAGGCAAACTTACTGCCATAATTACATAAGGCAAGGAAGTTAAGCTATGGGAAGAACAGTATGCATTTTTTTCTACTTATTTCTGAATTATGAAGCGGTCTACTTAAAAGCTTTTCTGATTATGTAAATTTAAGAAGCAGCTAGCTTATGCCTTCTGTCCCAAATACCAAGTAACAGAAATTAAAGCTCAATTCCTTGTTTTTCTGCTCCTGTCAAAGGTGGAGAGAGAAGACCTCTAGAGCTTTAGGCACAAAAGAAACATTTACAATAAAGAATTTAGACCACATGGTTTAGTGACAACTAAGAAGTTGGTTAAAAGTCACACAAGTACAAGAATGACAGAGCTGTCCAATGAGTGATCACAGTGGGGCTTCTGACAACAGACCTAGTGCTTATTTATACAAGTGGAACTTATTTTCACATACATTTAAGGAATGTGGACTTGTACTGAGACAATTTACTGCTGGCGGAAATGTAATTAAAGATTGTGCTAACCAAATAAACTGTAATTTGTTTTTAGTGTGCCACCAAATTATCTGCAAAACAAAATCCTAATTAGGTCAGCTACTTTTAAGACAACATTTAAATAGGTATCAACCCCCTTTTGGTTTAATTCAATTTCTAGTCAAGAGCAATACAGTTATTTTTTTAAAAGACATTCAAATCCACAAAAATATATCTTGCATGATCCAAGCAGCCACTTGATATTGAGAAGCTATGAATATACGTTAGATTTGTGAATGATCCAAGCCTTTCTAAATACACTTCAGGATGCACTACTATATTCATTTTTTTCTTATCCCTTTACTGTTCATAGGTGTTCACCTCCAGTCATTCAAATGTTCAGTTCCATATGTTGTCAATAGAGCCATTCACATTTCATGAACAAGGCAGCATGACCTCCACAAAGGGCAATTGAACAGAATTAGCCACAACTAATTGAAAGTCTTCCTGCTTTAGGTTAAAACCCTTATCTCCTTCTTCAATTGTAATAAAAACTACCAAATAAGACATCAGAAGTTACTTTCTGAAAAGAAAACAATATTATTACGTTACAGCTCAAACTGTTCACTTTTAACACATGGGGTCCCTATGGCAATAAATTACAAATGAATTAAGTGAAAAAAAATATGCATATGTAATAGAAAGATTTTAACGTGCAAATTCAAATAAAAGACACTAAACTTTTTCTGAAAAGTGCGCTCATAAACTAGTCCTAAGGCAAACTTACTGCCATAATTACATAAGGCAAGGAAGTTAAGCTATGGGAAGAACAGTATGCATTTTTTCCTACTTATTTCTGAATTATGAAGCGATCTACTTAAAAGCTTTTCTGATTATGTAAATTTAAGAAGCAGCTAGCTTATGCCTTCTGTCCCAAATACCAAGTAACAGAAATTAAAGCTCAATTCCTTGTTTTTCTGCTCCTGTCAAAGGTGGAGAGAGAAGACCTCTAGAGCTTTAGGCACAAAAGAAACATTTACAATAAAGAATTTAGACCACATGGTTTAGTGACAACTAAGAAGTTGGTTAAAAGTCACACAAGTACAAGAATGACAGAGCTGTCCAATGAGTGATCACAGTGGGGCTTCTGACAACAGACCTAGTGCTTATTTATACAAGTGGAACTTATTTTCACATACATTTAAGGAATGTGGACTTGTACTGAGACAATTTACTGCTGGCGGAAATGTAATTAAAGATTGTGCTAACCAAATAAACTGTAATTTGTTTTTAGTGTGCCACCAAATTATCTGCAAAACAAAATCCTAATTAGGTCAGCTACTTTTAAGACAACATTTAAATAGGTATCAACCCCCTTTTGGTTTAATTCAATTTCTAGTCAAGAGCAATACAGTTATTTTTTTAAAAGACATTCAAATCCACAAAAATATATCTTGCATGATCCAAGCAGCCACTTGATATTGAGAAGCTATGAATATACGTTAGATTTGTGAATGATCCAAGCCTTTCTAAATACACTTCAGGATGCACTACTATATTCATTTTTTTCTTATCCCTTTACTGTTCATAGGTGTTCACCTCCAGTCATTCAAATGTTCAGTTCCATATGTTGTCAATAGAGCCATTCACATTTCATGAACAAGGCAGCATGACCTCCACAAAGGGCAATTGAACAGAATTAGCCACAACTAATTGAAAGTCTTCCTGCTTTAGGTTAAAACCCTTATCTCCTTCTTCAATTGTAATAAAAACTACCAAATAAGACATCCCGTGATAAGAGATTAAGTATCAATCTAAAACTCTCCAATCTACTTTTAATTAAACTAAGGTTTAATAACACACAAAGAATATGCTTTTGATGGTCAACAATTCCACAATTCACAAATAAAGATGTTAATTATCACAATGATTTAAAAGCGATTTCTTTCTACCACCAGTATTAGGACATCAGGATAGTCTACTAGAATTGGTTGAAAACTTCGAATTTCCATTGCAATTCCGCTAGGCCCAAATCTAAGGATTAAAGATGAACTGCACTTTTATTTCTTTTCAACAGATAACTATTTAAAAAAAGGAAACAAGTTTCAATTATTTGTTTACATTTTACACGAGTCCTCTAATTTTAACAAAACTAGGGCTGGGAGAAAATAAGATGACATTTGGGAAGAATCAGCCAGTCTAACTACATTTTCGTCCTTGTTCTTGCACGCAGTTGGCAGTGATTTTAGGTTTTCAGACTTCACAGCTAGCATCCAAAAAACTTGCATAACAGCTCCCAACACTCTCTCCTAAACCTTCTGGGCGGGCTGAGAAGCTACAGAAATCACGCCCTTGGATCTGAAAACTCTAGTGCCTTTCCTTCCGTATCTATCGATCGGTCTTGCAACTTCTTGCTGGAACGAGGATGTGTTACGATTTGGTCGAGGAGGAAGATTTATAGAGTTTCCTAATGTGAAATCAAGCACAACAAAAGGATGCCTACCATAGCTTGGACAGTGCCCCAACTCAGTTGAGGGGGCTTTCCAAATAAAAGGAGCGCCTTCAACGGCTGGCTAGGAACAGGAAAAAGAGCCTGAAGCAGTTAGAAACTTCAGTTGAGCCACAGACTCATACACTCAGTGTGGTGGACTGCGAACTCCAGTAATCCGCAGGTTGCCATCTCTAGGAGAGGCGGGGGCGCGCATCTGAATCCCTTTGGAAAGCTCCGGGAGCGGGACGCAGACTCTACCCCCTGGAATTGTCAGTGGCTCTCTCCCCTCGCCTATCTGCCTCCAGGAGGGGCGCAAACCAGGGCCCATCTGCGCGGCCCTCAAGGCACTGGGAGACTGAGGTTCCGATGGATCCATCCCCGAGGTGCGTTGTTCGAGGCCTAAGCCAGGAGGAGCTTGCCCTGGAAAAAGCTGCTGCGCGCTATGCGCCCAAACCCCCGGGGGGCTCTCCAGAATCTCGAGGGACCCCCAGATTCTCGCGCGGTTCCCCCTCCACCCTCAAGAATACTTACAGGCGAGCGACCCAGGGTGGGAGCGGCTCGGGAAGGCGCGCCAGCCGCTGGCGACTGCAGTCCAGCAGCTCCCCAAGGCAGCGGCAGGGAGCGGGGCACGGGAGCTCGGCGGCGACCCCACTGCGGGTGTCCTCGACCGGGCCTGCGCGCCCCAGCACCGCGCACAGTAACAGCCCCAGCGCCGTCGCGGGCGCGCGGAACTTTGGCGCGCCCATCGCGGTCCTCCGGCCTCTCGCTCGGCCTTGCGCTCCGCAACCGGCGCGCACTCGGAGCCCGGCACAAATTTCCAGCTAGAGTGGACGCGCGCCCTCCTCTCGCGCTCCCAGGTAAATTCCTTTCTTTTAGTCGCGGCAGCGAAGACCTTTCATGCCCCGGAGAAGCGTGAGGGAAACCAAAAAGGACGGTCAGCTGCAGCAGAGTTGCAGAACGAGCAGCGTCGGCGCGCTGAAACCGCCTCTCGCCCGCAAAAGAAACTTTTCCTCCGCCTCCCTGCGGCGGAGCGCCAAGTCTCGGCTCTGCGAAGTCGGGGGGCGGGGCGTGCAGTGGCCGACACGCACCCATTGGCTAACCAGGTCCCCGTCTCCCGTGGCCACGTGACAATAACAAGGCTCTAGCCGCGGGCGGGAGCAGGGGAGAAAGTGGAGCTGAAATTGTAGGAAATTCGGAGTTATATTTTCCAGCCTCCCGGGCCAGAAATCTCCACTGCATTCTGGGAAACATATATCAAATAGATTTGAAGAGAAAAAGGGAGTGAGCAAATATTAGAACAGCTCTCGGAGTTGGAGGTATTTAGGGGAACTTAAGGAGAGTAAAGTTAAGATAGCTGTTATCAGCACACCTTTCAATTTCAAATGTTAAAAATCTATAAATTGTCCTACTATCCACAGATGGAACAATAGTTTCAATGAAAGTACAGTTAAAAAAAAAAAAAACATTAACATTGGTTGGTTTTTCCATGTTGGCTCCAAAAATAAAAACAATAAAATGTAAAAGTCATAGTATTAGAAATGGTATATTGAGTTGCATGCAGCCAGCTGTAGTGCACTGGACAGAACCAGGGGGAAATGATGAGACATGACTTTCTAATAAGCCGCAATGGCAATAATAGATTGCATGCAATAGCTAGAAATAAAAGTACTCAGTAATATTTCAAAGCAAAATGAAATATTACTAGGATGTTGGAGGAAAAAATGAATGTATGCACCATGGTCCACCTTCGCTTTGAGTGATGACAAATCCCTTTGAGAATGCTACGGGGCCAGAAGTACTTGCCTGCCTCTTCAGCGTGGGGTGGGTTCAGCATACAGGATTTCCCAGTGAAGTCAGTGCCTTGACTTACTTTTGCAGGTGATTGGGGCCACAGGATGTTGGAACGGATGGCGATATCAGCGATCATCTGGGAATACCTTCCTCCTCTACCTGTCGAAATAGAACCAGAGAAGGTAACTAACCTGTTTGTGGCACAAACTGGAAGCTTATTTTAAGCTTCCACTTCTTTACTCAGTGTTTCTTGCATTCTCTCTGCCAAAGCATTCCTTGGGGCCATTTAAACTGTTCATTATTGAAGAGTGGAGATAGCTTGTGGAGTTGAGACTACAACTCTAATGCTCATTGATTTCCACTGTAGCAGATCACTTGTATAAGCACTCCCATTCATGGGGGAGAGAAGACTTACTTAGAAGTTGAAGCACTCTGTTTCACATATAATATCCCATCCTCTTGTTTCCAGCTACCATTAGCATCGACTCCACCACCTTTTTTGATGATGTATATTTAGAAAATATTTATAATGATGGCACCTTGATTTTGAATGATCATTTTGCCTTCTTGGGAGTGGTCACGATACATTACAGTCATGCTATGAATTTTCCAGCTCAGTCTCCCCCATCTATTTCATATAAGGGAAATCAGGCTTAGTGTATTGGAGTTTTTAAAAAGAAGAAATATGCCATTATACGCATGCCATTATGTATAAGCATGGTAGCATGAGTATGGTGGCTTGCTGATTGACACATCACCCACATGACAGAAGCAGTCAGAAATAGATAGGCTACCATTTAGGGGGAGGCTTGGCTTATTTTCTTTCCCCGTTCTACACTCTCCTTGTATTATTTTATCTTCTTTGATTCCCTTTATACCCACTTGCTGATATTTACCACATCCATATTTATAGCCCAGATCTTTCTCCTAAACTCTAGACCCATACATTCAACCATACATAAGTCATCTCAAATTGGGTGTTTAAATGTAACATGTCTAGAATTAAATTTCACTCTCCTGAACCTACTCTTTTTTCTCTGAGTTCACTATCTCAAGGAATGGTACCTCCCTCTGTCCAGATGACTACTGCCCCAGAATCCTGATTCACCCTTAGCATTTCCTCATTCTCACCACCACCTGTACATTCAGTCAATTAGCAAGTCCCGATGAAGCTAGCAACTAAATGTATCTCTTTTCTGTCTCCGTAGACATCATGTAAACTCAGACCCCCATCAGCTCTTTCCTATTTGGCATTCTAGTCCTTTCTTCATAGTGCAGTCAAATGTTATCCCAAAAGCTCGAATCTGAGCCTGTGACTCAACTGCCTAAATACTTTTACAGACCCCCATTGTTCTTAAAGCAATGTTTAAATTTTTTAGAGTGACATATGCAGCATTTCTGCGTTTGGCCTCTACTTACCTCTTGAACTCATTTATTATTCTAGGAACTGCTTGCAATTCCCTTCTCATGCTGTGCTCTTTGCCTGTGGCCCTCCTTCACATACTGATCTCTCAGTCAAGATCACTCTCTGACCTTCTTCCTGGTTGATTTGCACTTCTGTTAACCATCCCTCTTTTGGAAGAAGCTTCCCTGAGTCCTGTTTTAGATCTTCCTCCAATGCACTCCCAGGACATACAGTATTCACTGGAATATAATAGGCCATTTTCACTGAACTACTTCCTGGATAATGCTTAGAATTTCTATATCACCATATATCTTGTACATCCTTTAAGGGTTTCACCAGATATGTGATGTTTTTTAAGTTACTTAAATTTTCAATACCTCAGTTTCTCCATCTGTAAGTTGGGAATGCAATAGAAACTTATCTGATTCCTGTTTATCAGTTCACTACATTAGCTATCATTGTCTATTTCCTCTGTTAGATTTGACTAATACCTATCACTAGCTGAATCTAGAGGCTACCAGCCACTCCCTAGTATACGCTTTGCACGTTTGCTCTTACCAGTAGGATGTTGATAGTAGTTCCAGACTTGTTTATATCTATAATCACACAGTTAAATTAAATATTGTATAAACCAAGTAAATATGAGTGCAACCAGAATAACAACATTTCTGTGATAATTTATTTGAATATTGGGAAAGATTCTTTAAAGGTAATCACTTAAACAAAATGCTTTTAAATTAGATATGGGCAAAACAGTTATAAAAACTAGGAAGAAATTATAAAGCTAGGAGATTTCTTCACACAGATTGCTTTGCAAGCATCTTCAAATTCTTGTTCCACTTTAATCATGATTAGGAATCAATCAGTTGAGCATATTCTATGGATGTGGCTCATGCTTACTGAGAACTTCACAAGGTCGTCGAGAGAGCAAACTAGGATGACATGGAAAGAATGTAGCGCACATTAAATATGGCTGTTCTCCATCTCAACATGTCCTCAGCCATGCAGTCAATAGAAAGAGGAACTAGCCCCACCTGGGAACTTTAAATCAGTGTAATATTTTCACAGACTTCTTGATCCTTTCATGAGCCACAGGGTAGAACTCCCACTGGGTATCTACCTAAGCAGGTGAAGACCGAATATCTTTGAGGTCCCTCACAGTCCTGTGCATCTCCTTTTATTGTACTTTGACAATAGGAATGAAGGCAGAGTGCCAAGAAAGATGGTCTGTAATAGAGGGAGAAAGGAACATAAAATTCTGTACAATCTCCCAAAATTTATCAGTGAATACCTGTGACCCAAAAAGCCTTAATGTGTCACAGAATTCTCTGATCCTCACTTGATATAGTTTTTCTAAGTACACACACACACACACACACACACACACACCACACACACACACACACACACTCAATATAGTAGTAGCAAATATTGATTCTCAGTTCTTGTGGCTAATGTCTCATAAATAAGGATTTAGTCAAATTCATTTTGACTAGAGGTCTTTTAACATTTGAATTAAAATGAGATGAAGTGTTGGATTTCCCTACTCCTTCAGAGGTTTATACTGGTTAACCAGGTAACTGAAAATTGACTCTCCATGGTAATCACCTAAATCAGATCCAGATAGTTTCTCATTTATAATTTTGTCTTGCTGAATGGCAAGTCCCACCCATTTTCAAAACAGTCTCCTACCATCCATTTTATGGTCAGTATAACCCAACCCCAGTGCTTTTTTCAGTTTTCCTGTTTTGTTCTCCATCTGGCAAGTGTGAGACTTTCTTATCTTGAGTGCTGGCAAGGGCAATGACTCACCGATAAAAAGTAATAGAGGTGCTAAGCTGTCAGTTTTAACATCCAAGGACAAGAATGAAAGCTAAACACTCAGTACTTGCTTTATCTGTGCAATGAATGACACAGTTTGTGTAAGTGTGAACTGTGAAAAGGGAAAAGAGATAAGGCAAAAGAGGGGGAAAAAAAGCACAAAAATCCCCAGATAATGATGCCAAAAGCAAATGTTGCTGTATTCTGTAACCTAACCATATCTTTCACCATTCATTAAGGCATTTTAGAAGAAATAGATAACCCCCTTTTTCCACACACACACACAAATGCAGTGCTTCACTTAGAGAACAGAATAGAATATTACTTTATAAAACCCCGGCTATGAACATGTCTTAACTCTTTAGAAAATATTTAGAAAGATGAAGATAGCCACCCATCTGTTTTTCTCAAGTTGGCCAAATGTATGATATTACTGGAATTGAGAAAATGTTGTCTGAACATTCACTTAACTAAAAATTAAACAAATGCTATCTTTTATTTTAGTCATTTCTCAAGTTTCCCTCTAGGAGTTATGTGAATCACCTCACTGTAGCCTGGGGCTACTGGGAGCTGTGAGCCCTGAGGTGGGGTAGGGAATGAGTGAAGGCTGGGGGCCGCAGCAAGGGGGGGTGGGCGGGCATCTGGGACTTCTACCAGAGACTTCCACCAGATTCTCCTCGGTAGTGAGTGTCCTGCCCTAGCAACAGATCCTTTTAATGGTTTTCAGTTTCTCAACTCTTCCAGGACCTCAGGACACTTTCTCTTTTTTTCCCAGTTCTTGCTTCATTTTTCCCCCCTCTAGTCAGCAGCGATATTAAGACTCCACTGGGAATTTCAACACATAAAAAATAGCCAACCCTCTCAGGAAGGCAGAAATCCAGATGCTCGAGAATTTGTTATAGAGAATGCACGGAGGTCAGAAGTCTGACAGGTCATAAGTACTGTGACTTGGGCTTGCTGAACAACTCTATACTTCATTTTACTTATCTGTAAAATGGGGTGAAGAGTGATATATTATTGCACAGTGGTATTGTATGACTGTAAAGTCCCACATAGATTCTAGTTCTTATGACTTAACTCTCAGATTTCTGTTTTCTTTTCATTATTCAGGCAATTAAAGTGAGTTAAGTACAGAAATAGTCTGCTGCTGGCTTGTTGACCAATGGTATGTTGGAATTAAGTAAATCCTCTGCTATCGGTCCTGAGTAAAATGAGAGAAATAACTTTTTAAAATGGAAAGCAAAGCAAACATTTTATAACCTTAATATAAAACCCATAATCTATGTGTTACAATGGCATACTATACATATCCTGAGATTTTTAATAGGAATTTAATTATGCCATCTTAAAAAGTTGCTGCATAACACAATTTGTTGTGATTTATGTCATGAGGTCAAAAAGAATCATTAGGCACAATTACTAAAAAGACTCATGTATCCCTCATGGAACTTTTCAGTAGAATATTTTTCTCTTCTTGGATGAATCGTTGGCCTATATACTATTCTAAGAACTAATTTGCATTTCTAAACCATGAGAGTACTCATAATGAGTTATTTATTGCTTTTATTTATAGTTTCATCTTCTTACATTTTTGATATTTACCCAGGCTTGACTATCCAATTATTAAGGTGACTTTATCATGAATATTCTCAAAATCATGATCCCTGCATTAAAAACTGTGCTTCAGTTCCTAAACATAAAGATCACTGTGAAGCTACAGTGCTTATGTATTCTTCTGCTAAGTATTTTCAAATAGAGAACGAAGAACCATTTGGTTATACAGAGTTGGGTTCAACATTGGGCGCATCCATGTCTGCAGCAGGCAGCCTCCTCCACTCCTAAGGCAGGACCAGTTTTTTCAGTCAGAGCATTCATCTTTAGTGCCCAGATAATAAATTCCTCCTGCTCTCTTACTGCCATTTGAGTGTTTCTGCTTTCTCTTGACAAAAAAGAAGC